AAGAGGAGGGAAGGCTCCCAAGCTCATTTTACCAGGTCACCATTACACTGATTCTAAAACCAGACAAAGACATTACCAAAAAAGAAAACTATAGGCGATATACCTAATGAACATAGATGCAGAAATCCTCAACAAAATATTAGCAGACAGAGTTCAGCAATACATTAAAAAGATCAAGCATCACAGTCAAGTGGGATTCATTCCTGGTATGCAAGGTTGGTTCAGTATCCACAAATCAATTAATGTGATACACCACGTAAACAAAATATAAAAATCATGGTCATATCAATAGATGCAGAAAAAGCATTTGACAAAATCCAGCATCCATTTATGATAAAAAAAAAAAAACTCAGCAAAGAAGGAACATACCTCAACATAATGAAGGGCATATGTGACAAACCCACAGCCAATATCATACCCAGTGGGAAAAGCGAAAGCATTCTTCTTAAGATCAGGAACAAGAAAAGGATGCCCACTTTCACCACTTTTATTAACATAGTACTGGAAACTGTAGCAATCAGACAAACAAAAGAAATAAAAGGCATCAAAATGGGAAAGGAAGAAGTAAAATTCTCATTATTTGCAGATTACATGTACTATATATAGAGAACCCCAAAATTCCACTAAAAAACTATTAGAACTGAGTAATGAGCTTAGTAAAATAGCCAGATACAAATTAATATTCAGAAATTGGTTGCATTTTTATACACCAATAATGAACTATCAGAAATTAAGAAAACAATCCCATTTACAGTTGCATCAGAAGAAATATTTAGGAATAAATTTAACCAAGGAAGTAAAAGACCTGTACTCAGAAAATTATAAGACATTGCAGAGAAAAAATTAAAGAAGATAAAAATAAATGGAAACATATACTATGCTCATAGATAAGAATTAATATGGTTAAAATGTCCACACTACCCAAAGCAATGTATAGATTCAGTGCAATCCCTGTCAAAATACCCATTGCATTTTTCACAGAACTGGAACAAATAATTGAACCATAAAAGACCCTGAGTAGCCACGGCAATCCTTAGAAAGAACAAAGCTGGAGGTATCATTCATCCTGATAATCAAATTATACTACAAGGCCATACTAATCAAAACAGGATGGTATTGGCATAAAAACAGACACATAGATCAATGGAACAGAATAGAGAGCCCAGAAATAAATCCATGCCTATATGGCCGTTTAATCTACAACAAAGGAAGAATTTACATTGGAGTAAAAACCGTCTATTTAATAAATGATGCTGGGAAAACCGGACAGATACATACAAAAAAATGAAACTAGACCACCTTCTTACACCACATACACAAATAAACTCAAAATGGATTAAAGACTTAAAAGTAAGATCCAAAACCATAAAACTCTTAGAAGAAAGTATAGGAAGTAAACTCTCAGACATTAGCCTTAGTAATATTTTTACTGATATATCTCCTCAGGCAAGGGAAACAAAAGAAAAATTAAACAAGTGGGACTACATCAAACTAAAAAGTTTTTCATAGCAAAGGGAACCATCAACAAAACAGACACATCCTACTGAATGGGAGAAGATACTTGCCAATGATACATCTGATAAGGGGTTAATATCCAAAATTTATAAAAAAACAAAAGCAAAAACAAAAAAAACTCATACAACTCAACACCAAAAAAACAATCCAATTAAAAAATGGGCCAGTTTTCAACATTTTACTATATGCTTACTATATTTTTTGATACTTCTATCACATAAGTTTCCTTTTATTTTTAGCTTACTAAAAGTTTTGATTATGAGTGTGCATTGAGTTTTCTGTCTATTGAGATGATTATATGACATTGATTCTTTATTCTGTTTATGTGATATATTACATTGATTAATTTTATAATGTTAAAGCCAATTTTGGATTCGTGATATAAACCTAATTAAATTAGTAAACAATAATAAACACATCTAGGGCTTCCCAGTGTTTGGAAATTAATCAGTATATTTCTAAATAACCCATGCATCAAGGAAAATATCACAGTAGAAATTAGTGTTCAAGAGAATCGACAAAGTCAAAGGTTAGTTCTCTGAAAAAAAACTAATCAACTTCATACCAAAGCATTTAAAATTTAAATGAAATAAATTCTAGGAAAAAGACAACAAATCAAAACTGACATAAGAAATGGAAATTGAGGAGAATCCTATCGATTTGAGAAGTTGAATGTGTAATTAAAAATCTTCCCATGAATGAAAAGCCTGGCCCGCATTGTTTTATAAGTGAATTTTTCCCCAAAAAAGTAGAAGAAAAAGAAAATACATTCCAACTTCTTTTATGGAGATAGTATGTCTTGGATAACAAACCCTAGTGAAGATATCACACGATATATACATAGATGCAAAAACAAACAAAATATTAGCTGATCAAAACTCAAAAAGTTCCTTGGTGCTCCGTCCCATTGCCAGTCCCTACCCCAGTTTGGGCAATTGTTCCACTTTCTGCCACCATATATTCCATATGTTTTCCTATTGTTTCACGTAGTGGAATTGTGTTTGGTTTCTTTGAAGGGAGACAGCAGTGCAGAGTGTTGGGCTCATCACCATGCGCTGTCCTCGCCTCCAGGATCTTGGCCCTCAAGCCTTGGCTGACTTGGTAGCCCTCCAGTTCTTCCCTTCCAATGTATCTGTATTTTATTCAACTCTCGTAGTTGGAGTTAATGGGAGGGTTGGTCTAAGCTATGATAGTTCATGACAGCCCAAACCAGAAGCGCTCTAGCAGTATTGAGTGGAAGTACAAAGGTCCAGAGAGCCAGGGTGAGTGTGAGTATTCTAATGAAACAGAATCAAGTGAGTCCCCCAAGAAACCTGAGCAGGATTGAAAGATTCGAGCGAATATGGTTTCCATTAAATATAGGATATGTGTCCTGTATTGATCCAGTGCCAGAAACGAGATGTTCTAAGCAGGAGAGCATTTAGTACAGGGCAGTGGTGGTTTGCGGGAAGGTCCGGAGGAGTCAGTTCTAGACTCGGCCTCCAAGGGCAGCTCCTCTGATGTCAATGACAGAGCTGCTCTGTGGGGCGGCTCCTGCCTCAGATCCGCCCCTGTAACCAGGCAGAAGCCCAGTCACTGCCCCGGCTGCCCCGCGGGCTCACCTGCTCACAGCAGTGACAGAGGCCCAGCCCGAAAGCCGTTCCGTCACCCTGCCTGTCAGATCTCACAAGATTGCCCCTCATCAGTGAAATCCCAATTTGAACAAACACTACGCAAAGGAAATACAGGAATTGTAATTTTTGACTTAGAAACTTTTCCAAATCCTGGGAAGATAGGTTGAGGGTAGAATGAAAGCCAAGCCCAAGTCCCTACCATGGACATACATGGGAAGTCCCGCGTCCCTCTGACTCGAGGGTGACTGGTACCTCATCGTCATTCTGAATAAACTCTCCTTTTTCCCTCTAACATTGCCATCAATAAACATAATGTTTCATGAGCCTTTCGATCTTCCGTACCTTTGATTTTTTTTCTGTCTGCTCAATGAGCCTATTATGACCTGTGATTTAAATATCCAGAGTGCATATCAGTCAATTAAAGGTTGTGTTTGAGTTAACATTTTCCTTTTTGTTGAGGACACACAAGATGCCTGGCATTGCCTTGGTAACTGAAAATTTAAACGGCTTACCAAGATTGACATTTCCTAATTCTAAGATCATATTCAAAGATAATCATGAAATCAGTTTGTTTCATAACCAAGTGCATGCGGAAACTTTCATCAGCTTCATTTGTTATTCTTATTGTATATTCAAGGACACTCTCTGATGTAAGTGTTCATAGCGATTCAGATCTTGAGACGAAAATGCCAGTGGCATCCTCAAGGGCAAGGAGCTAAATACAGCCTCCTCCCCCATTGCCCTTTCTGCCGCATCACCGTGTGTGTTGACCTGTTTTCCCTGCTTTCTTTTTCCTTATTAAGGTGAGTGGTATGATTATCAATAAAAGGCCTAAGTGAAGTCAGGACAATTTGCGCCAATGCTATCTACATGTTTTTTGGTTTGTTGTAAGCTACCGAAGTCTTATGATGTTTCCAACAGCTATAAGTGGCTTGTACTCAAGGGGGGAATAAAAAATAAAAACAAACACAAAGAAACTGGTAAACTGTGATATGACTGTTAGTTCGAGTGTTACACAGTGAAGTGTTCAGGACCAGAAGTTAAAAGGCGTCTGAGGCTTAAATAGGTTTAATGTGACAGTTTGGGGCTAGTGTTTTTGTATGTCAGACAGATTCTGTTTGAGATTTATAATGATTCTGAATTTTAAATTCACCTCAATTTTCCTCTTGTTTGCATTAGAAAGAATTCGTTGTAAATAACTCTAAAAAAGAACTGACTTAATTTTATTTTAGAGCACAGTGAATGTAAGACTGTATTTCCTAAGTAGAACCGTTTCAGAGAACAGGGAGTATTTCCTTTAACATTATCTTTATTATCATTCATTTATATGTTCATTTGTATTAGTAAATGTGGTTCTTAGAACTGGGTGGTATGTAGTCGCCTTTTCTAACATATGTTTTATTTTTGTGAGTTTACAAGGTTTGATTAGACTCCAAAGGACCCGTTGGATTTCTTTACCTCCTTCAGAAAGATATCCTCTTTCAAAGATAAATATTCTTCCCTCTAAAAAAAGTCTTGGAGAAAGACTATTATTTTATTCACCTAACTATCATTTCATTCAATTCTGTGGTTACATAGCTGAATGGTAATGTCTGACCAGTGAAATGTTTGTGTTTTTCAGATTGTTCCTGACCATAACTTTCTTTCATTACCTTTCTCAGAGGTTATCTTTGATTGTTGGTGTCTGTAATGCTTCACCAAACAAGTTTAATTTGTGCTGTTTTGATTTCTAGTCAGCTTATAAAATAATTAGAGGATGAATGTGTGGGAAAATATCAGAATTATAATTAAGAGTGTTTTTCAATATTTGAGGCTTTAAAAAATGTCAATAATGAAGTGTGTTTTAATCCATTTATTCTTCATTGCCCTCAGGTGGATCTCCGTACTTAGCAACCAAAATAAATGAAGCAAAAGACTTACTAGAAGCATCCACCAAACACTGACTACTCTGAAGAAAAGCGAGGAGGGACTTAAAAAGCAAAGTCCTGCAAATTCACTTAAACCACTTCTGTTATAACTGCATACATGTGCTGACCATAAATAATAACTTATTCCACTATTAAGGTATATAATAAAAGATGAATAATATGTCTTTTTGTGATCTTTTAAAGGAATGTGTTAAAATTCTGTAACTGACCTTTGTCCCTTATATTCCTACTTTCTGTGTGATAATCATGTATTTTAAGATTTTTGTTCTGTTAGTACTAAATCCCGCACTTTCCCCTCCCCCACACAAAGGTAGCCAAAAAGTATGATCATTATAGTGTAACTGGTGGAAATATTTTTACTGCTTATATTTATACTTAGCTGTCCCTTGTTGCCTCAGAGGAATTTAGTGCTCTGCCTGTGTAAGGTGCTTTAAATGTTTTGAGACCAAACACTGACCACCACCCCATGGGGAAATGAAGTGAAACTTAATGTAATTTACAAAGTGGCCTGTTCTGAAGCAGTGCTTAGGACTTGTTAAAGAACTCTGCTCTCTCTGAGGCCCTATAGCTGAAGCATGAGAACTTGGAGAGCTACTAAAATGATTAAAGGTTTACAAAATGAGCCCTGTGAGGAAAGGTTGAAAGAGTTGTGAGAAGTCTGAGTGGTTTGTATATAATTATAGTCTTCCAGTACTGTATATTTATTCAATTATTCATTCTACTAATATTTATTGACCACTTAGAACGTGTAAGATGCTGTAGTGGGTCCTCTGGGAGTTACAGGTGTGAACCAGTCATGGTGGCCCAAAGGAACTTACATTTAGAAGAACAAATCACAGGAGTGCTATTAGGGATACACAGGTGATATGCTAAAGAAGTTGAAAAACAGAAAAGATTATTTTAAATTGTGAATATTGGGAGAGCTTCATAGAATAAGTGACATAGAGCTGGGCTTTAAAAACAATAGGAGACATACTATGTGATTGGTGAGTTGGTGTTGTTCTGAGATCAGTCAGAATAGCAGAAATAGGAACTATTAATTACTGTGGTTAGAGGGTAGGGTTTCTCAAAGCAAGGGGTTGGCACATGGTCTTGAAGAGCTGGCCCTGAGATTTACAGGCACTATATTGTTCTCTCAAAACAGCCCCTGCGGGCCTGCCGAGTGACTCAGCTGGTTAAGAGTCAGCTTAAGAGCATGAGCTCTGAGCAACTGGGCCGCCAGTTCGATTCCTACATGGGCCAGTGACGCTGCACCCGAGCTGAACTGCCGCTGACCTGCCAACAGGTAGCAGGATGGCTCAGCTGGTGAGAATACGTGCTCCTAACAACAAGACTGCCTGTTCGATGGTGGGCTACGCCCGCCTGCAACTAAGACTGAACTCAGCACCTTGAGCTGAGCTGCCACCCGGGTGGCTCAGAGGATAGAGCGTGTGCTCTTAACAACAAGGCTGCTGGTTCGATTCCCGCATGGGATGGTGGCTATGACCACCCGCAGCTAAGACTGAACACAGCACCTTGAGCTTAGAGGCCACGAGCTGCGGATGGGAAGCCAGATGGCGACTGGCGCCCTCCACAACAAAGATTGAAGAACAACAACTTGGCTGGTCCCACACCCCAACACTGTTCCCCTCCCCCAATTCCCCAATTAAAAAAAAAAAAAGTCCCTGGTCACCGTCACTACACAGCCCCAAAGCTGAGAACACCAGGTCCACAATCATTTCCCAGTACTCCTGTACACATTCTGAGTTCATCCCAGATAAACTGAACCACTGCACTTCATCAGTCTTAAACAACTTTTTAATATTCCAGGTGCATCTTTCAGTTTATTACAGCCTGTAGTCCGGGAGTTTTCAGTCTTGGCAACATTGTCAATATGGAGCTGAGAAATTCCTTTTTGTGGGAGCTCTTCTGTCCCCTGTGTTGTAGGGTGATTGGCAGCATCTGTGCCTGTGCTCGCTAAAGGCCAGCAGCACCCCCTCAGCTGCGACACCAAACGTGTACAGACATGGTTGGATGTCCCTCGAAGGGCAAAATCGCCGCTGGCCGAGAGCCACTGCTGTAAATCTTTGGTGTTTTTCTTTCGGCACATGAAACAATAGTGGATTGCATTTTAAAGTTAGTAAAATATCGTTCTTGCTTTAGGTCTCCTCGCGTGTCCTAGTTTCCTTATTCTTTAGTGTTTTTCACTTTTTTCTGCTCACTGTTATCTCTGCACCTCAGATGCCCTTCTGACCCCCAAAGCTCCCCAAGCCCACAGCCTACGATAGTTCAAGGCCAAGGTAAAATGAACCCCTCCTTTTCTGGTGCTTCCAGCAAAAGTCATGTGAATCGTCAGCAGGAACCTCATCTGTCTTGTTGACTGCTCCGTTGGCATCTAATAGATACCTGTTGACTGAATGAATAAGCTCCCACACCACTTTCTTCCTCACTGGATGCTACTTGTAACTTGGTACCTTGTGTAAGTGCCTGATTTCTTCTACCAAAGTGTAAGAGCCTTTAGAACGACAATGCTGCCATTCACCTCTGTAACCTCTCTTTAGTTGTCGCACTTGTACTGAGTAGACGTCATAAAGTTGTACGTACTAAGAAAATGTTTTCTGAATACTGTGCTTCAAAAAACGTTACTGCTAATTTTGAAAGTTATGCTAACCAATATTGGGGCACCTTCAGGAACCACATTTTAATATATACTGTTTTCTAGTTCATACCGTATTTGTGAGAATTTGAGTCCCTAGCATTACCTTGGAATTTCCTTCATCCCTGTTTTCCTGCTTAGCATGTACCTTGGTGTCAGATGTGGTTCTGAATATTATCCTCCTATTACATGTTCTTGGGCAATTAATCTGCGAGTCTGTAATTGCCTCATCTGTAAAATAGAGGAAATAATAATCCTAATAAGGTTGTTGTGGGGCATAAGGATGTGTAAAGCATTTAGTCACAGCAGTTGTTTGAAAAATATAATTATTGCATCTTTTACTGCTTTTAATTCATTTTAAATCTTAGACCACCTTGAATTAAGGTTTGAGGTATGTTCCAGCAACCATTGATTTACCCTGGAGCCTGCAGTTTGGGAGCACCTGGCGGCGATGGCTCACCTCTGCCCCATGCAGCCCCAGCTGGGGCCACTGGGCGGGGGCAGAAGGAACCACTTCAGGCTGCTGCTGGCTGCCGGCTGGGACTCTCAGCTCCTCCCTGCAGAGGCTTCTCCACAGGCTACTAAAGCATCATCACACCTGGGCGGAGCTGTGCAAGACAGTGGTCCAGGAGACCCAAAGTGGAGGCTGCAGACTCAGCCTGGGCCTGAAAACTGGCAGTTGTTCTGCATCAAAGAACCTGCCTCGATTCCAAGGAGAGAATACAGAAGATTGTGGAAGAATCATGGGCATCTTCACTGTGTAGCAGGGCGGGTTGGGATGTCCACCCCTCCCTTGATCAGATCAGTTACGGCGTTGTTTTAAAAACTTTGCCAGGAGTGTAGAATTTAAGTACAGCTGCTGAAGCCATTTCAGATAATACAACTTCTATTTTAGGTCTGTATAGTTCATGAGTCATTCTCTAAATGGCAGCGTCCTTATATAATTAGATTTTCAGTAGCTATGCACCCTCAACTCCTTACTATCTACTTATTTGAATGGTTACCTATCTTCAGTAAAGATTGCCTTTACATATTTGCTGTCATTGCATATTCTTCTTAATTAAGTTCTGTATTGATATTGCAGTTTCTGTTTATTCTTATATCACAGATGCAATCTGAGGGAGCAGGAAAGACCTTTTAAAAACAAAACAATTACTTCCAAGATTCCAGAGAAAGTGTAAGTCAAATGAGCAGTTAGTTCAAGAGGAGCCCAGAATGTCATTTAGACTAGTTCGTGGTGCCAATCTCCAGCATACAGTCCAAGTGGAGAGCAGTAAGAAAAAAGTGTCGGCTGTGAAAGACATTGTTTCATTTAGTCTTCAAGCCATTTCCTTTATTTGGTCCGCAATGCGTTTTAGTCATTCAGCAAATATTGAACATTTCCTATGTCAGACAGTAAAGACATTAAGTTCATTCTTAAATGTGTAGTATGTGCAAACTAAATCGAAAAAAAGATTCTGAAACATAGAGAATTTTGTTTTTGTTTGATATGTTTGCATTAAGAAATACATGCTTATGATGACCCAGCAGGGTCATTAGAAATAACGTATTTTATCCAAGCCTTTGGTTATCATGGGAACCATGAACACGGAAAAAAGTTTCTAATGACGTATCTTCAACACATTTGGCAATTAGCTTAAGGGAGTCTAATGACATTTGTGGGAGGAAATGAATTAGCCAGCCCCTTCCCGTCAAAAATACGAAGTTTCTCAGACTCAGCCCACTTAGGATGAGCTGCAGAGTGAGAGGTTCAATATCCAAGTCTGCCAGCTCATCTCTCAGTGGGAGGCGCCAACCACAGGCACCCTGCCCCTTGCTCAACTGTCGCCTCCCTGATAAAGGCCTCTGGCAAAGGGGACTTGATGTCAGTGAGTAAATGTGTCAGCCCCACACCTCCCTCCTAAGGGAAGGCAACCCAAAAATCATATCCTGCTAACACTCCTTTAGTCTCATCACTTGTCAAAAACATCCCAGGAACTGAGCTGAAGTTTTATTTATGGTGGAGTTACACACATTAGAACATTAGACTTGTTGTTAGCATAATTTACTAGCTGGAAAAGTTGAGAAGGTTCTCTGGGCTCCTTTTTAGGTGGAACCTAAACGATCTGGATTATTGCCTACCGGTGAAATTGCTGGGCATGGTAGACAAAGAAAATGTTCCATCTAATGATTTTTATGAGCTGAGTAGCTATTGTTCCCAGTTGAGCGCTCTTTTCCTTTTTTTATTGTTGCTGAGCAAAAGAATTTATAAAAAGCTTTAAAAAAAAGTATTAGAAAACCTGCTCAGTTGAAATGCAAGTTCATTAAGTACTGTTCATTTCTCTTCCTGCCGTAATACCCTTCCCCCACTGCTCTGTTCAACAGTGCCCAGCAGCACTGGTCAGCACTGGAGTCTGAACAGACTGCAGTATAGACATAGATAGGCAATCCCCAACATTAAGAGGGAGTTTAATTTCACATCGGCAGAATAAGGTCACTTGGGCTAGGTGTTGGCCATCAATTTCAAATTAGTCCCTCAACTCAGA